GTGTGTTAAAAGATTTAGCCTTCGCGCCTACTAGTTAATAATAGCCGAAAGTAGCTTAGGTTCGTACTTCTTAAGGGATGGGAATAAGGGATTAGAGGTAAAGTAGGACTTTATCTTAATTAACGTGAGGTCTAGTTTACTAAATCTCTCTACTATCTCGTTAAACTTATCCGATCCTAGCACGATATATACTTTAACTAGAGAGGGGTAGCTAAATTCATTAGTTCTTCTTTCTTTATATAACTACTCTTCTAAGCTAGTCTTCTTACTCCCTATCTTTGATTTATAGTATATAGCTATGGCTAGCTCTTATGCGGCTAAGTACTTATTAATACGAGCTAGTTCCTTAAGTACTCTAGCCTTTCGTAATACGAAGCTATAGATAATTACCTAGTTATAACTATATACTTCCATCGTGAGTTAACATTTCTCTATAGCCCGAGCCTTAAGACTATTAGGCAGCCCTTCTAGGAAGAGCTCTATTCGCGAATACGAGCTTAGGCTTCCTTTAGCCGTAAGTTTCTCCGTGATAATACGATACCGGGAGTAGTATATAGGGAGAGAGTAGGATGGGTCTACTTTAACTATTTCCACGTATTTTCGGATAAAGTAGATGGTGCCTTCCTTGAGGGCGGAGTTAAATAGAGAGAATTCCTTTAATAATTCTTCACGTAGCGTGGTCTACTACTATTTCTAAAATCTACTTATTCCTTTAATAGTAGGACGGAGATAGTCCTTGTAGTATGATAGTAGGGAGGTTATCTTCTTATTAGGCGGAACTTCATAGTTTATATATATGTTCTCGTACTTCTAAAGGAAGGCTATAATATTTATTCCTTTAAAGCGCTCGGGGGCTAGGGTAGATAGAGGTACTATTCTTCCTTGTCGCGTAAATGCTATGAAGAAGTTAAGTATCTCTCTACGAGTTACTAGGTCGTTGTTTTAAGCTTCTATCGTACTATTACTAGTAGTAGATATGCTAGTGGAGACGCTAGGGGTAAGGTTATTAGTTAAGGGATTACCTTAACTAAAGGTTGGCCTAATGCGTCTACCTACAACATCTATTATCCCTTCTCTATATTAATTAATCCCTTTATAAGGTGAACTATTACTATCGTCTTTATTAATATAAGATTCACGGTATCCTACTTATGTTATTATCTTCGTGTAAGGCGTTCCTAAAGTGATATACTCGTGTAGCCGTGTTTATAAATAATAGCTATAGTAGTACTAAATAGGTTGTATTTATCGTTTTTAAACTCTTCTTTACTACTTTATCTAGCCCTGTTTTATATTCTATTCCCCTGAGACATTTTCGAGTCGCGCTATCACCTATATTAGTATACGTATGCTTTTTACGGCTACTTTTAAGAGGCTAGCCCCTAGCGACTCCGGACTCCCTGTTTTCCGGACTCGTGGCTTCAATCTAGTAAGTCTAGACTACCTTATTAGGCACGCTATATACTTCCCCTAAGCTAGTTTCGGAGTCCTAATCTCCCCCTATAAGTTTATAGTCCGGGTATAACCTCTAAAATTATGGTAAGCTATCGCTACGTGTGTCCCTTTTTATAAATGGCTGTGTTCTTAGTATAGTAGTCGCGATGAACTTATAAGTATCTCTCCTAGGTATTATAAGTTCTCTTTAAACGCACGACTTCTTATTAGTTCTCTTTTACGATAGGACGGGTCTATATAATACTCTTAATTAATTCTTCAATAGCTAAGCCTAATAATCAATACCTATAGAGGCCTATAAACGTAAGGAAAGGTCGAATTATTAAATATTAGTGATGGGGGAAGCGTGCCGAGTAGAATGACCGAGGAAAACGCCCTCCTTAAATATATAATGAAGCTATGTAATCGAGCTAGGGACACATACATATGGGGCTGTAGGAGCGGCCTTCTATACTACTATCCTACGTCTATAATCCTTATAGATATAGGGACGTCTAATATAAATAGAACGCCCTAGGGTTGTCTTTAAAGCTTGAAGTATAGATAAAAGAGGTCTTAATTCATAAAAGAATTAGGTAAGAGCCGGGCTTATAACCTATAAAAGTTTTAAAAGGATATATATAAAATAGATATATATAATACCCTTAGGAGGATAGGTAGTATAGAAGGTATCTTGAATAAATAAGACCAAGGGACATAATATATAGTATATAAAGTATATTTAATTGAAAGGCTTGAAGAGACGACTATCTATAGCTATAGAAAGGTCTATATATATATAATTTACGTGCGTTATTATTAAGAATCGATAATATATATTAAATGGTATACTAAATACTAATAGTATTCTATAACTATCCGATTTAGTCTATTTTAGTACGCTAAGAGTTAATATATTAATTAATATATTACCTCTATCTATGTACTTCCGATTTCTATTTAATCTAATATAAGCTAGTACTAGCTTATATTAATATAAGTCTCCTAGTCTATAGTCTCTAAGAAAGTTATAGAGTCTAGTCTAGTCTCTAGAGTAGAATAGAGCTAGTTACCTCTAGAGTAGAGTAGAGATAGAATAGCTCTAGAGTAGAGTAGAGCTAGAATAGCTCTAGAGTAGAGTAGAGCTAGAATAGCTCTAGAGTAGAGTAGAGCTAGAATAGCTCTAGAGTAGAGTAGAACTAGAACTCTTCTATAGAATACTAGAGAATGTACTTCTATAGAATAGAATAGAGTAGAGCTAGACTCTTATTCTATATAACTTATATATTATATATAATAGATTATAAGGTTATTATATATATAAAACTTATACTATCTATAGAACTATCTATTATCTAAGACTATTATAGATTAAATTAAATTAGCTTTTAAATAGATTAAGGTCTAGCTAGCTATATACTAAAGAGAGTATACTATAGTATATATAGAAGGCTATTAGTATAGTATAGGGTTATTTAGAGGGTATTTAGATTACTTATAATATAGTAGAATAATAATTAGAAGGTATTATAGAGTTAGTAATAATATTAGTAGCTCTAGCTCTTAAGATATAACTTATAAGGAGGCGGGCTCTATACACTAACTAACTATACTAAAAGAACCGAATCTTAAAGCTACTACTTCAAGGGTGGAGTATACTACTTATATACGACTACTATACATATGTATAATTAACTAGTAGGCACGTGCCTAATAATATCTCCCCTTTTTAAAGGCGCGTGCCCTTACGTATTATAGGTATCTATCTTATAAAAGATAAACTAAACTAGCTATAATAGGCCTAGTATACGCGCTAGCCATACTAGGCCTAGTATAAACTATATACACATAATTAATATTTATAATGCCGCCTCTAGTACTAGACACGCTAACTTACTATAGTAACGTTACTACTATATTATCTATTATGTATATAAAGTACATGTAACGTAGTAAGCTAAACGGAATTATACGAAATTTAATAACGGTTAACTAGACCAAGAGTTAAACCCATGACCCCGTAGTAGCTTTAAGATTATATAAGAAGGTGGGCTCCACGTACTAACTAACTACTCTAAAAGGACCGAATCTTAAAGCTACTACTTTAAGGGTAGAGTATACTACTTATATACGACTACTATATACATATATAATCAACTAGTAGGCACGTGCCTAACATAACTATTATAGAGAATATAGTATAAAGGGAATAATAGTTTAATATTATAGAGGACTACAGGGAAGAAGTTAGTATATATCTAGCTATAAAGAGACTACTTAGAAGGATATAAGTAGAAATTAGTATAGAGTATTCTAATCTATTATAGAGCTAGCGCTACTAAGAGAGACTAGTAGAGTAGATAATATATATTACTACTACTATTATATATTTTAAATCTTTAGACTCTTTTTCTTTATTTATAGTAGTATAATAATATATTATAGAGAGGGAATAGAAGAGGGAATAGAAGAGAAAAAGATAATAATAAGAAGCCTTAGGTGTACTAGAAAATTAATAGTCCGCGCCGCTAAGGGCTATAGATTTTTTACCTACTACTAAACGCGATACTAGAGGCTTATAACTAGAACTTATCTATAATACCGCGTCTATAAGTTATAAAAAGTATATAGAATTACTTAGGGTAGCTAGGAGCATGATTTATCGGAATAGATTTTTAATTAAGGTCGTGGTTAATTTATTATAAGGGAAAAGGTGGTTTTTTAGTCGTGGTTTTGGTAAGGGCGCTAGCGGGAACTTGTATCTTTTTATAAGATTCCGTAGGAATAGTCATAATATAAATTAGACGCTCAAGAAACCCCCGTTCTATAGGGGCTTAGACGAGTAGAGATGCGCACTTATAGAAAAGAGCCCATGAATGAACGTAGTGGTAATTAAGCATTTTCACGGCGTCAAGCCAGAAGGCAAATAGGGGCTTGTGTTCTAGCTCACTAACCACTTATCCTTGAGAAATGCAAATGACCCTGTCCTTCCCACTCTCCCGTCTAGCCTATCCCTCGTCCCATACCAGTTAGTACAGGCTCAAGAGCCGCGGGCGGTCACACCCACGATGCACGAATTATGGGCATGGCAGAACAAGTGACTACATAGGTAGGTGTATGTATGTATATGTGTATGATATGCGGAGGATTCAATGAGCCTCATGGTTGGTACTATGGTAGGTACTAGTAATCCTTTAATCTATTGAACGATTAGGCTTTAATAGCATACCGGGTGCTTTAGCTGCTTTCATCGCTGTACGAGCAGCTAATGGATTGATTCATTGAACATAGGTACTACCACCACCATTACCACCACCATTACCACCACCATTACCACCACCACAGTCTGTATACTTCTTCCACCTGCAAATTTACCAATCAACACGCACACGCCAATCCAGGCTTTACATTTCTGCGCAATCCAGCTAGCTAATTCTTGCAGTCACTGTCATCTACCAGCACTGTCGCAAGTTCCAACACCCGCTACCCCGGCGCTACATCCTCGAAGTCGCGACAGGGTCGGCGGCATGTACCAGAGCCAGGGTCGGGCTGCCGGCTATCATGAGGATGCTACTATTACTTCCACAGCACATTCCACCATCGCTAAACCCACTTCTTCCTCTTCTCTCGCTGACAACTACCGAGCTCTCCGCGAGTCCTCTTCCCTCTCCACCTCCCACGCCTCTCCTCTGCGAACAAGTGATCATCTCGCTGGCCGAGTGAGACACGTCCCCAGTCCCCTCCAGCGGTCGGGCCCTTCGCCCTTCTCTGTCAACGGTCGGCCGCACCATACGCACCACGAAGAACCGTGCTCGCCCCGAGAGAAGCTTGAAGCTCGCCTGGCCTCGGAGGAAGCTACTCACTCTACGAACGGATCGAGCACCCCTACACAGGCCTTCATCGAGAAAGGGCTGCCCCAGTCTAGCAAACCTGGCACACACGTACGGCTTCGCAACGTCTCAGCGTCAGTAGCGTTTCCTGTCGGTATAACACCTCCTTCATCTCCCATTACCATGCAGTCTCAATCGAGACCACAACACACCGAAACACGACCGACACCTCCTCGCAATGACTCGATCGACTCAGCAGTGTCATCCATATCCTCTAATACTTCTCAACAGTTCAATCGGCCCATTCCATCTCACTCTTACCAGTTCTCTCACGAGAGCGTGTCTCCAAACCCTCCTGATATGGCGACTTTGTTGATCTCGACTGGGTCAGCAGAAGCAGCGGTGAAGAATCTCTGGAAAGAGAAGCAAAGCGCCTCTGTGCATAATGCTCAACTCTGGCGGCTAGTTGAAAAACAACGAGCCATGATCCTGGGTCTGAATAAAGATCTTGAAAGGGCATTGAAGGATAAAGAGAGGTATCGAAAGAAGTTGAAAGAGCAATTAAGTCAAATGCCGCCGCTTCCAGGAACAGTTCAAAAGACTGAGCAAGCTTCGCAGAGGGACCTAAGCCAATTCCCCGCAGATGGCATAGAGGTCCACGACGGCTTCTCAAGTAGTACCAGTGCCTTGGAAGATGGAAGGGCTAGTAGTGCTTTGGAGTTTCGTAAAGGTTCGGAAGCCGTACCCACGCAGTTGCAGCAAGGGTCCCCCTTAGAACAATCGCCAATCCAACCAAGCAGCTCTGTTTCAGAAGCAGGCTCAACGAAGCGCGCGCTGAGTGCAGATACCTCTGCTCTCGACTTTCGCGCTCTAAGGGCTGCAACACATGTGCCATCATCGTTACAAAACGCCACAAGCCCAAACACGCGGTCGTCGGCTCCAGCCCATGACCATGACCAGACGCATCCAGCGAACATCACCCAAAGCTCTGACCTAGACGTATCGTCATATGCACAAGTAAAACTAGGAGCACCTGCTGTCTCAATCACGCAAGCAACTCCAATCATCGGTGCAAATGGTTTCGAATACTTTGTGCCTCCTCTGCGGAAGGCTCCCCCAGCGCCGCTCGACCTGTCGAGTAGTAAGCGCGTCAGTGCTTCTCTACACCAAGCCAATCAAAGCGAGGAGTCAGACACGGACTACGATGACATTCTCGGAGTAACCGAGATTCCTCAACCCGACAGAGGACGGCGGAAAACGAGGGAAGATGACGATCGAGTGCGCGAAGCTCTAGCGAGTCAAGAGGATGAAGCTCGCAGTCGATCAAAGAGAAAGAGTAAAAGCAAAAGTAAAAACACACCCCAATCCGCTGCCCCAGAACCAAAAAGTGGCCAAGGGGTAACTCATACTTCTCCAATATTGTATCTTCCAAAATCCCCTAGACAGCTTCCATCCGCACCAGCCTCCCTGAATGCCATACTCAGTCCAGTCGGCTCGGAAAAGTCCGCGAAACGAGGAAACGTAATTTCTCCACCTATATTGAGTCCTGGACTTCCCGTAAGCCCTCGCCCGAGCGACCGACCTATAGGATCACCCGCCCCTAGACTACCTCATCAAGCCATGGTGTCCCCTCCTATGTCACCGAGAGCCAACGGCTTGCCATTGTCCCCCCGAGCTCCGAGGCAGCCACTTCCCCTTCCACCAAACACTCCTCTATCCTTTGCGTCGCCACATCTTGCACGTGCAGTGAATTATGGAAAAGCTCAAATTCAGCCGACGATCAACACTGACCTACACTTAAAACCACCTGACTTGACGGCTGAAGAGAAGAGTTCTCATGGCTTGTCGGAGCCTTCGAGTCCTCAGATCATCGACCGATCGCTAATGTGTGACCAGTATCCAGGAATTTTACTACCCCCAAACTGCCTTCCACTTATTCAGGTCAAGGTTTCATCCTCACGCCTACGTCCATCTAGGCATAGTATGCTGGCAACGAAATCTCTGGATGAAGATGTCTTTACGTTGGCCCTGTATGCAAGGTCAGACAACAGACAACTTTGGCGTAATGAGAAGACTATTGGAGCACTTCCAAACCTCCACCAGCAGCTACAAATGCTTTGTCCTGAGTACACTGCTTCGCTACCCGATCGAAGTCTCTTCAATGGTCATGCACCTGCGAAGATTGATGCTCGCAGAACTGCTTTGACGAAATACTTCGATGAGCTTCTAGACACCCCGATCGATGAAATTGCAGCTATGGTCGTGTGCGAATTCTTTTCTTCGGACGTGATTGGATGTGAGGTAGACGAAACGTTATCACCGATCGAGGCACCGTCGTCAGCCGGCGGCATTTCAAGCAAGGGTAAATCCCGAATGTATGGATATTTGACAAAGCGCGGAAAAAACTTCGGAGGCTGGAAAGCCAGATATTTTGTGCTAGAAGGACCCGAACTTCGCTATTACGAGTCTGACGGCGGTGCTCACCTTGGGACTATCAGATTACAAAGTGCTCAGATTGGCAAACAGTCACAACAGCAGCAAACATCTTCTCAGGACGATAGTGACAATCAGTTTCGGCACGCCTTCCTCATCCGTGAGCCGAAAAGGAAAGACTCAACCAGCCTTGTCCGACATGTTCTCTGCGCTGAAAGTGATGGAGAGCGTGACCAGTGGGTCGATGCCTTGCTCCAGTATGTTGAATGCACAGATGATGGAGTGATATCCCCAAGTGACAAGAAAGCCATCCACTCAAACAAAAATGAGCTTCGTTCTCAGCGAAAGGAGAACTCTCCTACCGACAAGTTCGACAGAGATGATAATCTACAGGCCATGAAGTATGAAGAGGCAGTTCAAAGAGACGCTCCGCAAAAAGGCCCTACGTTGCGTCAGCATCACGTTATGCCTTCACCGACCCATCGTAGTTTTGACAGTGGACGGCAAAATCATCCCGCTATATCGGGACCGACAAACGGCACTGTTATTCATGACACTGGTATATGGGGCAATAAATCTCTCGAACCGACTTCAGTCAAAATCAAGAAACGAAGCATATTCGGATTCGGTGGCAAGATCACACCGGACATTGTGGGAGACCATATTCCGTCTGAACCTCTTATGGCTCCGCCGCCGAACAGAGTCATATTTGGATTGCCGTTGGCAGAAGCTGTAAAGCATTCGGCACCAATTGGTATAGACACTCAGTTGCCAGCTGTGGTCTACCGATGCTTAGAATACCTTCAAGCTAAGGGCGCAGAGCACGAGGAAGGTATCTTCAGGTTGAGTGGGTCTAACATTACGATCAAAGCATTGCGCGAACGTTTCAACAACGAGGGGGATGTGAGACTTCTCGATGGGCAACTGCATGACATGCACGCCGTCGCATCTCTCCTCAAGCTCTACTTGCGCGAATTACCAGCCTCAATACTGACACGCGACCTTCACCTAGCCTTCCTCAGGGTTCTCGAACCATCTACAGCTCGGGAAGATAGGGTCTGGGTACTGAATGAGCTGGTACATAAGCTACCTTCCGTCAATCGCGAGCTGCTACAGGCTTTATCCTCTTTCCTTATAGACATTGTCACCAATTCCGATGTCAACAAGATGACAATCAGGAACGGTAGGTCCTCCACTGACGATGCATAATCAAAACTTGCCCACTAACAGAAACACAGTCGGTATTGTTTTCGCGCCAACACTGAACATTCCTGCGCCCCTAATATCTCTGTTGCTAACTGAGTACTCTGACATCTTTGGGCATGTCCCACAACCCGACGAGATGGCGCGTCAACCTCGAGAAATCACCGTTACCGCGCCTCCAGAGGATTCCGACGCCATTCGTTCGCCACGGCACCAGATGTTCTCAAACTTACCCACACCTGCTTACAACCAGCATACCTTCAACCACGACATGACTCTCCCACCCCAAGGTATCAACAAGGATCCGGGCACCGGATACGATACAGGATTCATTCCGCTGCAACAATCATACGACACTACGATATACCAGAGCCACGATAGTGACTCTGTCAGTTTAAATGAGGCTGTGCAGTCGGCATCGGCCAACGCCAAGGATGCAAAATCGCGACGGAGAGAAAGCAATATGCTCCTTAGTATGGGAGGGATGCAGGGGATGCAGAGCATGGCCTTTGGCCGGGTAGCAAACAGGACAAGCATGACGCCAGAATTACGTGAGGAGCAAGGATACCCTAACCCGAAAGGGCTACGTGACATGGGCAGTTGAAAAGGGAGACAGGAATGGCAGCTACGGCCAGGTCTTACTCATCTGTGGGTCAATCCACATGCATGGTTGCGGTCTTCATTGTGAGCTCCGCCATCGCCTCCCGAGCTAACACGCCGTACAAGGCAGCATCACTTAAAACGACCAACACAAAAAGCACCTGCACCCGGTCGGCGCGACAACGGCCTCTGTTGTAACAACTCGTTCGCATTTTTGAGCGCCTACGAATTTACGATTGCAATCTGCAGTCACTCTCACCGACTTAACACAGCGCCCACGCCACCGTCACACTGAAACACAGCACGTAGATTCTTATCATCACATTATAGGCGTTCGACGTGCTTGCTACCGGGTTTCAACAAACGAGGCCACATGGGAAATACGAGTGCACGCTGCAATGCTCTTTCGTGAAGCTTCGCAGTATGTGCACTGCTCAGGCATGTATGACTCACTCGCGGCCCGACGCAAGACCTGAAGTATGAATTTTCACGCAGCTCGCTGATCGGCGATTCTATCTTCAGCACCTCGAGTCACTCGGACTCGGACTGTCCTTCAGTAACAGTTGACCCCTTTGCTGTCTTCACGAGTCGTGCATGTCCCTTAACTTTTCAAGACCCCTGTTTTGGTTTAGACGATAACGCGAATATTTCCCACTGTAACGCATACTACATACACTCAGCCGGGTTATCAACGATTTCACAGCAATTAATGCAAGAGCAATATATCCATGGCCTATTTTGTTTTAAATTTTTATTCCTGAGGGCATGTATGTAATCTCTGTTTGAGCGTCATGCCATAATTGGATTTCTATGTCGCGTGGAGTCTGTGTATCTGATATGGCGGATGTCCTGCGACCCAATGTAATCCCTTCCTCGATGCATGTTGTGCCTTTTCATGTTGAGCTTGTTGCGGCCCTGTCTAAAAGGGCGTTTTGAGATGCTCGTTCTCCGGGTTACCTCAGCCTCACGCTAATCTGGGCAGTGCGGCTCGGTGTCAGGACCCGCTCTACCACCGCAATCTGTTGTTCGCAGGAAGAGTTCTGGATAGCACGATTGGCTGAACCGCAGCCGGTATCCATATCAAGCACGTCGGGAAAGGCGCAAGGCAACAACTGCAACTGCTTACTCGTCTTTGGTACGTCCCGTCCAACTGTTTTATCAGCGAGCACATCGTCTTTCCTATGGCGCTGCACGCAGACTCGGCTCCCGCTGTATCCCAGCACTCCATGAATATTGTGCCTCGATGGTCCAGAACGTTGTGCATCGACGCCACGCGTTATGCGTACTGACCCTCACACCATATGACTTGGCAACAGAAAATTTGCAATACCCTCTTTGATAGCGTATTCGTGCCCGCAGTTTCCACAAACGAGTTTGCCCTCCATGATGCACGTTTGTACGAGTAGATTATGCAGATCCCTGAGAGTTTGTGTGGGTTCGCTGTCAGTCGCATCAGGGTCGAGATTTTCGGTGCTGAATAGGTCGGTACACGATGGCTGAGTTTCGGAGAGTTGGGGAAGACCAAGCTGCATGGTGCAATTAGTTTGAGTCTTGCTGCGTATTGCAGTCACGTGTGATGATACGATGCGAAAGGGTTGCTTTCGAAGAAAGTGCGTACCTCGTTGCACATGGCTCTCAGAGCGGCCCACTCCACTCGCGGCAAGATATTGCGGATGAATAGCGGGTTGATGTCGGTCTCGACGATTTCGAGCTCTACGTCGCGTGGGTGTAGTGGAAAGGCATCGCTGCTGGACTTGCATGCTTTGCGGGCGCACATGAGGAAATTGAGGGTGAGGATTTTCATGACGGGCACCGATCAGCAGTAGACGCAGAGAAGAGATCTTACTGGGAATGAGGGTAACAGCAGAGATTGGGACAGGATTCTGCTGGTTGCGTCCACACAAGAAGCAAACTTGATGCGAAACAACGTTGAGAATTCGATAGTGGTGTGTATGTCATGTCTGAAGAAATAATTTCAGCAGCTCGCGGGGGTTGGCACCAGCCACTAGAGCCGCTTCCCTAGGCAGCAACGTCACGCATGTTTTCAGCAATCCAACAGTGCTCTCCTAACAGCGACAGTTGCATTTTTTATTCGTTATTCTAATATCTGAATACATCTCAGTCCTAGCTGTGATATCAAAATCCCGGTTCCTATTCGAAATGATAATTCAGTAACTGCCGGAGATGCCCTGCGTAGATGCATTCCAACAAAGAGCATAATAGGTAGCTAATTGATTTGAGGAAAAGACAACCTGTCTATTCTGCGGCATGAGCTTCGCTTCTTCAGATGGTCTAAAGGGTATAAAAAATAACGCGATTCAATCCACAGCTAGATTTCAGATGGAGAGCATTGACGTGGTTGAGGCCATGTCAGTCGTTCGGGACCAAGACAAGGCTAGAGAGATATTGCAAGTCGTACAAGACGAAAGGACATCAAGTGGAAAGTGAAGCGTAGATGCATCGACAGTGGAGGTCGAGGTCATATAAGACAGGACCTAGGAATTAAAGGACCAAGAATGAGAATGAGAACGGTGATAGAGATATAAGGTAGGTAGCCAATGGATGGGTTGAGGCTTAGCAGATTAGTAGATAATTAGTCGCAAAGGCTTGTTGCCCAAACAAGGAAGAGCGCGATCTCGCTGGCGGACATGCCGAACTTTGCTTCAACTTTGACCGCAACTGCTCGCGGCTTCTTCTATCATGTCCACTCGAGCTCACCGATCGTCCACCTACGCGAACTCGACATGTTCGTCAATTTCTCTTGAGTCTTTAAGTCCTAATGTCGCCTTCGTCCTTTAATCTAGCGGTGAGATCTTCAGCACTATACAAACTTCGCTGCAACTGCCAATGTAGAAGCAGACATAGCCCCTGATCTACATGCTCGACTCCAAGCTGCCTTTAAGATATCACCCAGAGATCCGTCTCAGGCGATTCGTCGATAAATTCTCCCGGTCGTTCTAGAGCAGACGTGCAGTGGTTACACTGTTATGTTCTCTCGCCGAGCGGACGTGATCGACTAAGTACGCCCTCGCCTAGAAAGCCTGAGGCGGATGCTTCCGCTGAGCACGCCATCCGTTTCTCATCTGACCCAAATCTTCTCCACGGTGCATAGTTGGCTGGGGCTGGTACGTATTACGCGAATCCTTCGGCTGATTGACATGAATGACGTTGAACCATCAATTAGACCATGGTAGTGCTGTAGTATGCACAAGGCTGCGGTTCATTTTCGACTTCAGCTGGTTGGGCCTCTGTCATCGCAAGTCTCTAGCCAATGGCCAGGACTGCTATACCCTGTTCACTGTCACAAACGATCGGTTATGCTGCAAGGCGTTCATGAGGACCTGTCTGTGCTTTGGTTCAGCATACACGCGGCGCTGTAAGGGCCATATGACGGCTGGTTAAACGGTCTGGCCGACATGGCACATACCAGAAACGACCACGATATATATTTATACTGGGGATTCTTGTGAGTTCCCACGTTTGAGGTACTAAGTGATGTAGATGCCTAAACTGACATTATATTATTATCTTTATGAGAACTATTCGAGTGGCTTGGATCCTGACCCAATAGTATTCAACTACCAGACCTTTCTCTTGATTGGTCTTAGTCTTTATTTTCCATTCGGTTATGTATATGCTTCCATACGCTTCAGTGTATAGTCGCCACCTCCAAACAGCATCTACCGATTGATTCATACTTAGCAAATCATACATTATCACCAATAGATCGTTCGATTGTGTGCAAATCAAAACACTGACGCACGGTATTTTCAGTACGCAGCAATTCTCGGTCTCACATCTCTGTGTTGAAATAGACTCAAAGCATTTCGACTATTCGATCTCCACGTCCATGTTACAATCCCTTCATCCGAGTATTGCCATCCAAGTCATCATTTAATTACACCATCATTCACAGATCACATACTGGATAAGGACTATTCTAATTCGATGTCGGATCGAAAAGCTACTACATGTCAAAATAGAACAATCGTAGAAGCTGAGAGATGGAATGATGTCAGAGACCCACAGGAACGCCGCAAGATCCAGAACAAACTAGCACAAAGGCGATTCAGTGAGTTTGCCACAACGAAGAAGTCGTATATTTAACTAAATTAGATTGTAGGAGAGAAACAAAAGGTGCAGCGAGAGGAAAGTGAAAAGAGTTTGCGAAATCAACGGTGGGCTGGATCCGCCTACACGAGCCCTGAATCACAAGAGCTACAATCGAGTACAAACTTATCTGGATTACCTTGGGGAGGAATATCTATGCAGTGTATAGTGGAGTCGGGCAGAGCAAGAGAACAGCAATCACAACAGAGTTCTCCTAAAAACTCTATGTATGCTGCGACATCACGGATATTGGGCAGTGCGAGGTAAGTAGTGCTGTGGGTCTGTCATGTTTCCTGCTGAATGGATGTAGTGGCTAAATATATGCCACAGGCTAGGACTACGTCTGACCGACCACTTCGCCCGGGGAGCGCCGGCATGGCAAAGCTTTCCATTCACCTACCCCTTTGGACAACCGGAGTGCGGGAGACGGTGATTCCTCGATCTCTTGGCGCCAACCGCACATAAGCTTTTCTCGATGACTGTACAGATTCGGAATCGTAGGCTACCGACAGTAAGGTAAAGCCTACTTCAAGTAGCTAAAGTACTATCTTATTACCATATTAGCCTCTGTTAGCGCCTATATTAGCTGCTTCTACGGCCTTCATAGCTTACGATAAATGTTCCTAGAGATTACGGAACAATTGTTCTTTAGACCTAGTATATAATTTATTATATAATATCTCTTCTAAAATACTTTACTCTAAAGTACTTCTATAACTACTTATAGATAGATAGATCTCTTCTAGACTAATAGAACTCTTATAAACTTATATAGAGTATATAGTTATAGATCTAAGATAAGTAGAAAGAGATACTCTAAGTCTAATAGATCTTCTAATAAAAGTAGTATCTAGAGTAGATTTAAGAACTATAGAAGAAGCTAAGTAAATAGATATATAAGGGACTAATTATTAGAATAAGTACTAGAATAGACTTAACTAGACTACTATAGTCTAGTATAGTTCTATAATAGAAGAACCTAGACTAAGTTAGCTAGAATAAGTAAGATTACTATATAAGTAGATTATATATACTTAATTTCTACTCTTTAGAAATTAACCTTATTATAAGAGTAGACTACTCTTTTAAATATATTTCTAAATTCTTCTATAATCTATTAGACTACTATCTTATATCTATAATTCTTATATTTTAATTTCTCTTTATATAGTATAATAGTAGTTTATAGAAATAGCTCTAACTACTTATTATAATACTTATAGTACTGTCTCTTATAGTAGATCTTCTTTTTACTTAAATAAGAAGAATAGTCTATCTATAACTACCTCTACTAATAACTATATCTTATAGACTATTATACTAATAACTTATATAATATTCTATATAATTATAGAAGATATAATAGAATATAAGAATAGAGTCTATTATACTCTATCTTAGTCTAGTTTAAACTATACTAGATCTAATCTTAATATAAGACTAGACTCTATTAATATTAATAAGTTAATTTATTAGCACTATCTAATATTAACTATACCCTATAATAATATATATACTAGACTATATAAAGAGAGATAATATTATATTAGACTTAACTTAAGTAATAACTATATAAACTTAATAAAGCTTAAGAATATACTATAAGACTTAAAGCTATATTATATACTTTAGTTCTAGTAATAATTAATTTATATCTATATAGATCTATACTAACTAAAATAGTCTATTCTAGTCTACTACTATCTTAATTACTCTAATCTAAGAAACTATCTTACTTTAATAGTAAAAGTAAAAAGAGTCTCTATATATAGATTTACTAATATAGCTAATTCTTTTATCTATTTATAAATAATAGTAATAAAATTAGATTTATCTAGAACTACTCTAATCTAATATCTTTAGAATATTAGATAGTATACTAAATTAAATACTCTAAGAATACCTATAACTAGAATATATTTACTAAATTTCTTCTTTAATATTTTAGTAATAGAGCTAAATAATATAACTAGACCTAGAGCTATATCATTAAGACTTAATAATAAGATAATTAGTTACTATTATAGCTTCTTAAATATCTTTAGTCTCTCTAGAGAGAAGCTAAAGAAGATTATATAATTTAATACTATAATAACTTTAAATAGTCTCTTACTCTAAATATAAAGAACTATCTTAATCTTATAATAATAATCTCTATAGATCTCTAAGCTCTTATAAATCTTATAAAGTAATACTAGTATATAATAAATAACTAATATTATACTAGTATATAACTAT